TGGAAACCTTCTTGTGACTTAAAAGAAAATCTTTATTTATTTATTTATTTATTTTGGTTTCAGCAACCAATTGCAAGTAGATGGTGCTGAACAACCTCAACCTCTGGGTGACCGTCACGATTGCAATCTCGTCAGTCACCAATTTGGACTGATTGCAATCGGTCTCAGACAGGCTGGTGAAGGTTAAGCACAGTCTAATATATAAATGCAGACAGACTGCCAACATTTTCTAATCTGAGTCAGTCTTATGACTCACTCATCTGCAACGTATTTCTTTGTAACTGGGGACTCGACTCTGCTCACCGTCAAACTGGCCGTTACACACTCACAGTGTGTGACAAAGACCTGGCAAAGGAGGAGTGCCTAGTGGTGCAATGCTGTAACAACGGCTCTCACATCTCCCACTAATATCAATGATAATTGTTTTCAGCTGCACCCAGTTGAAACAAACGCCTCCCCATCAGGCAATGCTGGAGACAGGGGTTTGTGTTGCCATCCGCTGGGCTCAAGCCCCCCGCACCCGTCTCCTCTGGGCCCTTGCTTACTGGAGCCCACCACCCAGAAGAAGAATATCCAGGAATAGAGTGATTGAATGTTCATGATGTGGAAGACTCCCACGTTTTGCCTGCATCAAACCTGACTAACCTGTACTTGACCTCCTCAAGCTTCTGTGACACCCAGAGGGGGCCCGTGAACAATTGAAGTTACACTGTCCATCAGGTTGATGATGAGTTTTGATGAGGTCACCGACTGAATAGATCACCAGCTGATGCCTAAAGTCATAGTAGCATTTCTGTCTGGCATGATGTAAGCCAGCGTCTCCCTGTCTTGATAGGTAGGGCCTGGTGTTGTCCTCACCTTCAGCTATTAATGACCATTACAAGTATGCACAGTTCTGGTCCCTGTCTTCAAAGAAACCATTTCAAAGGCAACAGGGTCACAAGTTCATCGTTGATGTCACAATCTTCAGTTACTGGTTTGAAGTGTTACTGTAGCATAAACCAGTGAGCAGTCTGTGGATATAATACACATTCTACTGTTGAAAAATGAACTTGTCTGTGTTTTCTGACAGAGATTAAATTATCAATATGCACTGATAAATGTGTGTTTGTAAAGATTATAATGTTATGAGAGAAAAATGTATTTGTTTGCTTTGATGGGGGTTTTTTTTCCGGAAAATGCATTTTACATCTAAACCACTATTAAGATAAAACGCTAAATATTAGATCTTAATTTATGATTTGCTTCTGTCGCAGGTGCACGCACACACACTCTTGTTCTCAAGCCTCCATCGACCCAAACTTCAGGCTCCACATGTCTGTGATTTCCTGCCACATGAAGTAGAAATAATTGAATTTCTCTGTAATAAAAAAACGCCGTTATATTGTTATTTCAATATACTGTAGTTAGTTAAATCTGCATCAGCAAGTAGCTGGTGACATTAGAAACCTGGTGAACAAGTTTTATGTACATATTGGGGGGACGATAGATTAAAAACATCTGATGCAAAGCTTAAAGAAGCCAAATATGTCTTAGCAATCTGTTGTAGAGAGAATATGAGACCTTGTCATTTGTGGTGTAAATAGTCCAAGTGTGCATGAAGTTCAGAATTTGTTTTGTGTACCATCTGTCTTCTATTGAGCTTTGAGACTGCAGAAATTGAATATTGGAAGCCCCCCTTCCCCTTCAAGCACGAACAGCAGCAGCTAGGAGATACATAATGACAATACCTCTGAAAATGTGCACCTCTTGTATCCTCATATCTTCTTCCAGCTTTGAAAGACTAAGTGTAGCTAAGTGCAGAGTGAAATCCCAACAATCCCTCTGTAGGACTGCTGTGTGCAGTGTAGTATTCATAACATAGCAGGAAAACTGCATGATGGAAATTTATTGTTTTAATGTACCGGTAAAACTCATTTTCCTTCCTCTCTTCCTTCCTCTGGCCTCTCTCTCTCTGGTCTAACTGAACAGTGTTCATTGTATCCACGGTATCAGATAATAAGCACTGATTCACACCTCACAACGAGCTGTTTCCTGTTTGGATTTGAGTCAAGAAGCTCTTTAATAAAGTCTGGATAACAGGAAGTAGGCTAGTATATATTGTAAAACCTGCAGGTGGCAGACTGAATGCAGTTAGGTGCTGCAGCCACATGGCAAGAACTGGTACTGCAATAACAACGTCTCAATTTGCTCACAGACAACACAAACCTGTCTGAATTTGTAATTTACAAACATAACAATAATAATATTCACTGCAATAATGTGCAAAAGTCTTAAGCCACCTCTCATTGCTTTGTATTTTGCTTGCAACGAGTCAGACTTTCTTGCATTTTTAAAGTCCTTTTGAGCAATAGTTCTCAAGGTTTTCTTAAGACATTTGTCTGCTTTTCACTCATTTTTAGTCCATTCCTTACACCTTACTCCTCGACCCATGAATCACTCAAACATTAAAAAAAGAACCTAAATTGGTACCGTTTCTACACATATCAGACAACTTAACAAAGAATTGATTGTAAATTATATCCTTAAGCATTTTGTGTTGTTGTGCAGATGTGCAAAACACATCATTCCTGTTTCTTTAGTTGAATATGTGAAAAATGTCAAAGATAATGCAGTTGGGCATGGATAAAAATAGCATTTTAGCCGAAAACTTGTGTTGCCTTAAAAAAATGGACAAGTGGGAGGACAAAAGAAAAAGTGGCAGGGCCAAAACAAACCCAGAGAAACAAAAATACTTCCGATGAAAAGTAACTGAAAGTCATGTCTTAAGAAATAGGAAAAAAGTCCAGCAAAGACCTGACACAGGACATGAGAGGTAGCAGCATCACCAGAAATGCTCTCAGCGGAAGGTTAAGAATACATTCTTAATGAATATATAATTATTCAAGAACTGGACTGTCTGGAGTGATTCCTCCAGACTT